GCACCAGTCAGTATCGCTTGGGCCAATCGTCCCACCTGAACACCATTCTGTTCGTTAGTTCGGCACGGTGCATCGCGTATGGGCCCAGCGCAATTTCCCCCTGTCAGACGAGGCTGCTCCGGAGCTGTGCGACCAGGTGCATTCTCCGCTGGATTCGGTCGGGATCTCCCTCCTTGTTCCGGAATAGGCTCAGTACATTGCCATTGCACACGGCCCAACTTCCCGCACCGCCAACACTCGACTGCCCCCCGCATGGGCCCACGCTCACGCACTTCCCGCGGCCCTGTCAGCCCAGGCGGTCTCGGCAGCCCAGAGGAGGGTTCCCCGGCCAGTCGAGGATCCCGCTGCCTAAATCGCGGTCGAGCTCCATCCCCTTCCCCCGGGTTACCTCCATCTGGCCGTGCGCCTCCCTGCGCACGCGCCCGCAACGCCCATTCCCCCAATGCATCGAGAAGTTCCACCCCCACATCTGGTCGCTCATCCACCGACCGGAAAGCGTCTTCCGCCTCCATATTTCGCGAGGCGCATTCCTTCCGCGTAGTGGTTTCGGCGGCACTTTCGAGATCGACGTATCCCAGGAACTTTACTGCTTCCCGCAAGGGATCCCGCAACCCATCGACCCAAGAACGATACCACGCCGCCTCGGTGGCTTCGTCCGATTGAGCCAACAGTTCGCGGAATCGGCTCAAATATTCCTTGACCGACTCGCCCTCCTTCTGCGTGAGCGTTCTCAATGAAGCATTGACCCGATCCTCAATATCCTCTTCCAGAAATCGGACCCGGAACGCTTCTTTCACTTCCTGCCATGTTCGATTCTCATTGAATAACCACCTGGATCGCGCGCACCCATTGCGTCGCTTCACCAGAAGTGCTCACAGTCAACAAGGCAATCCGCTGCGTATCATTCGCGACCCCTCCCGCGACACAGATGCCTTCAAAGTGCAACAACCAGCCCTCCACGTCCTCTTGCGATCCATCCCCCGCAAAGAAGCGCGGCCGCAGTCGCATCCTTTCTCAGCGATCACCACACTCCCTGATCGATAGTTCTCCTGCCACCAATCGCTCCTCGGACAGCCTCCTGCTGCCGTTTGACGCTCTACGCTCCTCCCCGCCGCCCTTGCGAAGGTCCTGGCGTCGGAACCACTGCTACGCCGGTGCCCTTCGATCAGGCAGCACAGCGGCCGGCTCCTTCGTAGATGCCCGGCAAGGGATCGCGCGGGTGCGACAGGCCCTCGAGGCCTATGACCGTCGTGGTCCGTAAAACCCAGCGTCATTACAAAGCCTGTCCAGCCTTTTATAGACCCGCTCCAAATCCAGACAGCTCATCAGCGTGTACAGGTTGATTGACAGCATGTTAGATCACACGTCCCTATCGACACCTTGCCCTTATCATACTGGCCGCACTCTTTAGGATGGAACCCCGAGAACTCACCCAGAACTCACTAGCCCGTCCCCTCACTTCATTCTGTCCCCCTTCGCCCACACCTATACAGTAGGGGTCCCTATATAGCGCCCCCCTGGTGACATGGCCACAAGGGGGGCGCTATTGGGGGCCGGGGGCGCTATTGTGTTAACTTTGTTTTAATGCATTTAATTGCAGTTTTAGTCAATATGGTTTTGTGTAATGACCTCCTGGCATTGTGGCGGCGCCTGACGACCACGTCAAGTGGCAATGTGCCAATGCAGCAGTGTGGCAGCGTGGCAATGTGGTAGCATGGTCATGTGGCAGCGTGGCAGTGCGGCAATGTGGCGGAGCAGCAGCGTGGCGGCAGTGTTGTGATCATTGCGGGCGTGCAATGGCTGCACGGTTGGTGTGCGCAATATGTCTAATCAGTGCTGGGGTCAGTGGCGTTCTGTTCAGGTAGCCAATTAATGGGGCTCATCAAGAAATTAGTGCAATAATAGCATCACTCAGTTGGCCACCTGTGTGGTCTAGATATGATGCAGAGGGATGCCAACAGCCTCAACACCTTTGCCACAACTGAACATCATCACACTGCAAGCTCAAGGCACTGAGAATGCACGGAAATGACTTTGACGATAAAGATAGATGATGGCAATTGTATCATATGCCCAAAGCGTTCACTTAGTTACTATAAAGATGCTGAGCACAGCGCCAATACGTGGCAGTGCATCACACGGAGACACACGAGGTAAACGTGCCCCTGGGGCACTGCCCCAAATATGCCTTAGAGTATTGAGGAGCACACGGGTTGCCACTGGACACGTGCATTTGTTTAGGAGCTGCATGCTTGGCAGTCTGCCGTGGATCATGGCGAGATGGAGCTAGGAGGGGCACGTCTAGGCCACGTGCTTGTTTGATAGGAATATGCCCCGTGGGGTATAACGTGGTTGTTGACCACGGGAAGTGTGGTTGTTTCGTGACAATGTGGCCCTTGGGGCATACGTGGTGGCTGATTGTGGGCAGTGGGGCGTCCTGGGTTTGAGTTATGGTGAAGCAGCGGGCGTGGCAAAAAGTTTCCGGGCATCAAAAGAGCATCTCTTTGGAATGGGGGTATTTTTGCCAAAGGGGCGTAGACAGCACGAAGGGGAACTGTGACGTGGCTGCTTGGGGTTAGGCTAAAATTGATATTTCTGAAGCGGCGGTTGGTCAAAAAAGTGCAAATACGGCAAAATCAGCTTATTCAGGAGCTCCTGATGCCAATAGCGACTTGAAACGTCCAATTCCGTGTAGAAACGGCGAAGTTATGGCGGTTGAAGTTGCAATGCTGGCATGGGATTCGGACCGGTAGATGAAGCTTTATCAGGGGATTATGTGGGCGGCGGTTGGTGAATGGTGGACGGTGACAATGTGCACAGACGCACACTTATCTTGTCTTGTCATGATAATGACGCTGATGGACCCTTGTCCCGGGCATCAGCGCATCGCGATATGTCTTGTGGCATCGTTGAATCATTGCCGCTTTTTTGGCCGCTCTCACGGCCTCGCGAGCCAGCGAACCACGCCTCGTAGCGCCGCCACCTCTCGCCGGCCTTGACAGGCCCGGGGATCGATCCCCGTCGAGCATTGGGCCCACCGCGCGACCACAGGAGCGACTGCCCCGGATACGCCCACCGTCCAAGGTGGAGAGGGCCGGCTGACCTCCAACAGCCGAGCTGCAGGGCAGGGCGACCCCAACGCCTCCGGAAACCAGCGGCTGCCGACGGGGCCGCAACAGGAACTCTCTATTGTTGCACTCGGCCTGGCACCTATAAGAATGGTTGCGAGGGGTTTGCGTGTCTTTTGCACGGTGGTCCAGGCGCTTTGTCTGATTGCCTAGGTCCCCTGACCGTGCGCGTAACGTTTGCCACGGCCTGAGCGCAATAGCGCTTGACCTTTTTGAATGTCGCAGCCAGTCTGGGCCTTGTTTTCAAGGCGCTTTCTTGCTGCTCAAGACCAGCACCTCTAGCATGGTCTAGTTGCCGACCAGAATACGCCAAGCCTCGTTTTTGTACCGCCTTGTTGAGGCTGAGAGAAGCATTCCCTGTGTCATACACTGACGTGTTGTGGACAAGGCAGCCCTAACATATGGGACCTTACCTCTGTTTTGACTTCGTCAACCGTGAAGGAGCAATTGCGACCGGTTTTCGCACTCTGAGTGATAGCTGCAGGAGTTTCCACAAGCATACTTGCATGGTTGGCTGTAGTAGGGGTGTTGCTACCCTTTTGAAACTTCCCCTTGCTGTCGCCACTATTTTGTTGGTCGTGTTGGCTTGCCAAGCAGTTCTTCATGAAGAGTCAGTTCGCGCGAGTGGCAAAGCTTGTTCGTTGAGTGCACCCTCTACTGCTGTGGTGCTGAGGCTGTTGACATGACTTAGTTACCCGTTTGAGGGTAAAATTTACTGCGCTATCTCAGGGGACGACAGCCAGAATGGACCGCCATTGTCTGCAATTAATTGCCTTGGCTGAAATATCCCTATGGATGCATGGTGCAGATCCTGCTCGTGTGGTAAGGATTTGCAAGGAGGAGGTTGTTGTTTGAGGCGCTATTGCACAACCTGTCGGCCACTGTGAGCATCAAAGCACCCGGTGCGCAGATCGGTTGTGATGTCAAAGCAACTGATCAAGAGCTTTGTTGATGACGATAAGGGCGACTACAATGATGGAAGCTCTTGCAGCCAGGATTTCATGGAAGACGGAACTCCTAGCAGCGATGAGGGTTCCGGCAGGGATATGGAGATAAATTTGTATAATGATGATGGGAGAGAAAGAATGGAATCCGCGGCATTGGGCACCCCTCCCTATCCCTCCATTCTGCTGGTTGCAAGGAGCCTAGGCGGTAGTGCCCGCTTCGCTGTGCATAGATGGAGATCCACCATGGAACGCACACCTCCCTTGGCCTCCCGGGGAGGCCACGGGCCCGGGCCTCATAGCGGACGCACCGGACGTGCCGTCCGCCCATCCACGATATGCCAAGTTCACTGAAACAGAAGACCACCACGCCATCCGTCCTCCAAACACCTCTCTTGGGTGTGTTTGGTTGTCCACAATAGTAGCTTAAGGTCCCACTGTGCAGCAAAGCTGCATAAAGTACTACAGAAATGGTGACAAGCCCGAAAAGGGGGCGCTATTGGGGGCCGGGGGCGCTATTAGGGGGGCGCTATATAGGGACCCCTACTGTACCTCTAAGCCAACCTACCTGGACCCGTCCGCCCGCCGGCGTTCCTGAGGTCCCTACCCACTAACTCCCTCATGCCCACGTACTCCCGCACTACTACCCGCTCCACTCCTAACCTCCCGATCTGCCCCCTACCACTTCAATACTCTACTGCCCCATTCACCCAAGTTCTCTCCATCACCAGTCAACCACTGCGCCGCACATCTGACAGACCGGCGCCGGTTCAACCCGCACCCGGCGGGCCCCCAGTCCCCCAAACGACCACAGGCGCGGGCGCCTCCAGGCTGGCGACAGAAACCGCGTTAGCCTGCGCCCCGAAGGGCCCCTGGTGCCCAGGCCCCGCCCCGCCTCGCCATCAAGCCCAACGGTGGCCGCCCGACCATGCGGCGCAGGCGGCCGGGCTGGGCCCAAAAGCAGGTCACTATATCCCACACGCTCACGCCGGCGGAAATCCAGGTGCGCGGCCCCTCGCCCCCATCCCCGGCGCTCGCCGCGCTCATGCCGGAACGGCACAGGGGAGCAATCTCGAAAGGGGGGGAGCCCCTGCAGGGTTGAGATAAGCTTTGGAATGGAAACAGGCCCCACAAAGGGCACCCCCGCTGAGCATGTCTGGGCGACCCTTGTACATGCTGCGGGGAGGTGATGTGGAGACTCCGGTGCAAGAAGGGGAGGGCGCAGAAAACAAGGCGCCGGGAAGGCAGGAAAGCACGCGCTCGGGGGCCCGGGGATCCCGCGGGGCTGCTGTCCCCTCCCTCGGCCTTGCTCGATGGAGCATCCAGAGCCGCGCGGTGCCGTGACGTCTTGCTGGGGCTGCGCAGGCGGACTTGGCCGAGGTCGCGGGCTGCGTGGAGGGTAGCGACATGCGGCGCGCCAGGGCGCAATCAGGTGAGCCCAATTCTCTGTGTGGGCAAAAGAGTGTCGCAGCGCCGCTCGATTCGCGCGACGCGATCGACTCAGCCGGCTGTTCTGGCCCTGGGCATCCGCACCGGCGCCTCGGCGGGGCAGGAGAAGAGGAGGGGCCGCTGGGGGGCGTTTCCGGTAGTGGAGGCCCGCGGTGGGCCTCGGGCGGGGCGGCTGGCCGCGTGGTGCATACTGCCCGCCGGCCGTTTTGGCGCGAGCCAGCGGCGCGGCATGACGTAGTTGGCGCGTCCCCCGGTGGTCCCAAAGGGGTGCGGGCTGTGTGGACGCTCGTTGGTTGCAATCTGTCGGGGAACATGGCGGGGAACTGCCCTCACACCTGTCAGATGTGGCCTGCTGGTGCTGCTGAACGGACGGCCTGCAGCATCAAAACCGGAAGGGGTTGATAGTAAACGATGTCCGACTCCGTCCCCCGGTGGAATCTCGAAATGTGTCCACGACGTCGAATTCCTTCCTCGAGGTGGAGCAGTGGCGTCCACCTGATTGGGGCGGAGGCCGTGGGGCAGGGAGGGACTGGCTCTGTAGACGAGTGGTTTGGGGGGGAGGAGGGGAAATAGGATCGGGGGGACTGAGGGCTGTCCCTGCGTCGGCTACAAATGCAGAGGAAGACATCGATGGCGACGACGGGTACTATGAGGTGGAGAAATTGCTGGAGATGAGGGTGAAGAGGCGCATGCGACAATTCAAGGTGCGGTGGAAGGGCTGTGGTCCAGAGGAAGACCAGTGGGTCAACGAGGTGGACTTGGGGGAGGAGCCCACTTGCTACGATATGGACAGCAGGTGAGTTTCCTTTGTTGCGAATACTGTACAACAGCCAGGAGTACAGGTGCCACTTGCATCTTGATAGAAGTTGTCTAAGCCTTGTGTCTGCTGCCAAGACAGTGCAAGGTGCATTGCATCATTCAGTTGTTTTACATCCCCTTACGCTTTGGGACGTCCAGCACCCGGACTGTTGACCATGATGTAATATCTTGGAATGGAGATGGACATTGGTGGATTCCTTGGTATTGTTGATCGGAAACAGTGTGTCTGAACACCATGAAATGTCACATTTTGCTGTCTGGTGGTTGAATCTCCCCAGACCAAGCCTAACCACGAATCTCATCCCTTGGATTAAGCCATTAATGTCCACACTAAAGGTTGGAAAGGACAGAACCAGACGAATATAGAAGGCAGGCTTTTCCAGTTAGTTCATTTGCCAACTTGCAGGAACTTGGTTCAATACCCCTTTTGCGCCTGCAAGGCAACGGCAGGCGCAATTCAATCCACAGCGTTCAAGGTTGTTTGTCAGTTTCCCTTGAAAGATCGAGCGAGGGGAGCAATGGGGCAGTTGACCTGCAAGTGATCATCATGAGCTGCCAGGACGTTGCCACGTTGGTGCCCCAAATAGACCTGCAAAGCTCCGAGTGCGGCCAGTGCTGAAGGCGTTCACACTGCCCGTTTCAAAATGGTGCTGTCGTCAATGACATTGCCAGCTTAATTTAAAACATTTCGAAAGTGTGTGCCCAAATTCAGGGGAATTGAAATTGCCAATTGCTGCATCGTTAGCTGAGCAGGAGAGAAAGAGTAAGGAAGGTGTTCAAACCCCCTGTGGCAAAGTCATATGCAGTGTTTAGAACTCCTATTATACAGCAAACCCAGTGCATGGCTGTGCTCAGGAACAAACGAAGAAAATGGTTACATTCTGCCTCACTTGTACCTTGAATACAACCTTGCTGCTAGAATGTGACAGAAGCGTACACATGGCTGTTGCGATTTGTCATGACAAAGTCAAGGCTCTCGAAAGCGAACACCAGCAAGGAACAGCTGAAAAACAGCATTTGAGTACACGAAGGCTGGCCAGAGCATTGCCCATTTGCCTCACTCTCAAGACGATGATGCACCATTAACTGACTGACATGGAAGCGTGGGGTTATCTGTTGCAGCCTGAAAAATCTCTTGGAGCAAGGACATGTTACAGCTGCTCCCATGGCCCAATCGTCGGTCCAAAAAGTGTCTCCCGCTGGTGCCAGACCTTTGCCCAAGGTGGATGTCTCCGACCTGGAAGCCAAGCCTCGGGCTCAAGATGACTGGGGTCAAGTTCGGACTGTGACATCAACTGGTGGTCCCATTTCTGAGACACACGCAAAGACTGGGAGCACAGGTGAATTGTAATCCCTGAACCTGACAGCGGAGCCTGCAAGACAACTGTGAATATAGTGGGCGTCAGAAGCAATGAATGGAGTTGGGTTGTTGAAAAAAGCATTGATGAAAAAAGTGCTGAAAGGTACCACAACAATGGCCTTGCACCCACCAAGAGATGCTGGGTACTCACATCCACAAATGTTTGCTGCCTTGGTGGATTTGATTCAGATATTGTTTCCTCCTTTGCGTATGTGCAGGTATGCGTATGCTGCAGTGTGTTTTGGGTGAATCTCACTGATGCCACCAACTGTACTGAATGCAACTGGTTTGTGAAGGACAATGTTTCTGAGGTCTGCATTTGAGTCTGCTCTTGGAGAGCAATACAAGTAGCAGCACTGTTGTTGCCAAGGCACAGCAGATTGGACTGTTGCCCCGCCCCTCTGATATCAGCAGCTACGAAATGACAATATTGAGGAGCTGTTGCTGTCTCCCGATGCTGACCAACAATCTGGTGCCAGGGCCAGGTCTCGCGTTAAGAGGGCTGCCGACAGCTGTTTTGACAGTGGCACTTACAATAGAGAATGGGGGATAACGCCCCCCCCCCCCCGCACTGAGCATTTCCGTCATAATCTGCAACATGGGGGGCGTAGTCTAGTGTTCCCCCCCGTTACGCAACACCCGAGGCGCAGGGCCCCCTGTCCAAGCAACTTGTGGGGAGTTGCTCATTCTCCCCACCTGGTGGCAGCGCCACCACACACCACTTTGTGCACCTGGCGTCATCCATCCCATGGCGTGTTGGTTCTCTTACTGATCTGTTGGATGGCTTATTTTTAAGCAAGCAGTATGCTGTTTTGTATTCAGATGACTAAGAGAATGTGGTCAAAGATTGGGAACACTGGACTATGAATAAATCGATGGGTGTGACCTGAGTGACGACTATTCACTCAGATTCATTTGTTGCAATGCAGCTGGCTGTGACAGGCAGGTTTGGTGTCTAAAGGAGCCAATGGCCAACTGGCATTGGCCAGCCTATTGTGATCATGCTATGTTCCACAATGGTGTTATGGTTGGTGTTGTCACCATGCGATTTGATTGTGCAATATGTGGGTTGCACAGTTTGATACAAGCACCTGTGAACTACCATTGCATATGTTTTTCGTGTCCAGAACTTGTGCTGCATTGGATGTGCATACTGTACTTTTGAGCCTCACATCATCTAATGTTCCCCTCGTGGTATCTACCGTTGTCCCTACGTTAAGCAACAACAAGGATGATCGATAACACCAGGTGTGTTATCCTACCGGATAGTGCTCCCACCCACCTCACCCCACCCCACACAGCATTATCTCGTGTCTCCGCATTATCCCCATTCTCTACAGTTACTTGAGATAGGGCGGATTATCATGGACTCTTTGTTTGGAAATTGGGACAACAGCATTTGACCAACACAATCATAGCGGATTTAGACCTCTGTGTTTTGAACATTTTGGAAGTAATTCGTAGTGCAGCAGAGCTCACACAGTGAGACAGTATCTCACTGCATACAGTAGATTCAGCTGCTGGGCTGTCTGGCCAGCGACTGAACTTGTATTCCTTACATTTTGCATGGGGCAATGGAGAGTAGCATCACATACTGCACAGTTGAGGTGTCATGCATCTGAAAGAGCGATTTTGTGCACAGCCATGTCAGGCCCCTCACCTTCGTCAGATCAGCATTCTAACAAAGTTGTTCCCTGTTGCCTGCAGACTTCTTGTCAGCACGTTCGACGCCCACTGAGGAGGTGGCTGCTGGTGACGTTACTGCAGCTGTGCAGGCTGTTGACGCTGTGGTTGCTGCCACCAACGATCATTCTGATGGTGTTGCTGTCGATGCTCTGGCTTCCCCCTCTGAACAGGAGGATGAGGAGTTTGAAGATTGCGAATCGGGTGAGCAACGAGAATCGGTGAGCAGCACACAGTGATTTTCGTCTGAGTCCCAGCTGCCAGCTGATGTATTGTTCGTGTCTTCATCCTCACATGTCATGAACTTGTGTAGAACACACTCAATGAAAGAGAAAACACACAGGCAAGTTCCCTTCCAGAAAGTACTGGCAATGACTGCCTCGTAGCCCAACATCGCCTCATGCACACACAGAAAGTGCTTTTGTCTATCTTTTGATCTATTGCGATGGTTAAAATTTGCATGGAAGCGAATTGTGGACTACCTTCCAGGTCCTGGGGAGGAGGGCATTGTGGAGATGCTTCTTGCTCGCAAAGAGCTGCACAATGGCATCGTGAAGTACTTGGTGAGGTGGGCAGGGGAGGGGTCTGACCAGGACATGTGGATTCCTGAGTGCAACTTGACCCAGCCCATAGACAGCTACAAGATGACGGCAGAGGTGGCCAAGGAAGTTGGTGTGCCACACCTTGGGGCCCGCCAGGAGCGATCGCTGCTCAGGTGAATTGCTTCACCAGTGCTGTAGGCATTGTGGGGTGGTGGGTGTGTGCAGAATTTATGTTGGCTGGGGTGAAATGCTGGGGAAGGTTTGTGTTGCTGTGGACTTTGCAGCACTGTGCACTCCCATTGTCCTGTGGGACAATCTGTGTGTTATGGAAAGGAACTGATGTGCTCTCTGGGGCTCTTGAGCACTGTGTGTGGGTCCTAAGGTGTGACTTTCGCCACTGCATCCCGTAATTTCTTTTATTTGAGAGCTGACTTGCTTGCGTGAATGGTCAATCGGTTGATCTTTGCTCAGGGATGTGGAGGCAAAGTGGAACGAGGTAGAACAGATAGTGTCCGGGGAAGAGGCGTCCCAAGATGAGGAGCTGGATGAAGATGACGATGCTGAGAATATCAGATCCACATCGCAGGGTGTTGATGTTGTGGATGCTGACATTGAGGGGACAGGGGGAGAGTTTAGTGGAGGTAACTTTTGTGTAAATGATGACTTGGCAATTTCTGTTAGAATGGACAGGCTGCCAAGGTTGGGTTTGATTGAGTGTTGAACTGTTGTATCAAGCAACTGCCATTCAAAAGGACCACCAGCACTCATTTAGGATGTTATACTGTGACTGGCGATGAAGCTACACACTACAAATTGTTGCTGTTGGAATTACTCTCAGATTCAGCACTTTTCACCTAGTTCAAATTGTGTGTTGGGCAGTTTTCAATCAAGTGGCGTTTAAACAGGACCATCGGCACTCACTTGAAATGTAGTGCTGAGGCTTGCGATCAACCTACAGATGATAACAAAAACCAGCCAACTGTCAGGGGTGTTCTGCATGGTGCTTGTTGATGTTTTCAGTATTTGGAAGCAGTCCAATGTTGGGCAGTCAACGAGTTTGAAAGCATTCAAGTTGCAGGCCATTTGGTAGTGGGGCTGTTTGTATAAAATCAACTGCAGCTGCACATCCTTGCGCAGCCTGATTGACATGTGACTTCTAGGATTGACTCCCAATCGTGCCACCTCAGAATGTGCAACTGTCGCTATGGCATCCAGATTTTTGTGGTATCAAGGCAGCAATGGCTTGCCTGTTGCTTGCTTTTGAATAATCTTCAGCCTTTAGTTTAATTCGCCAATTTTTTGGGAGACTTCCAATGGCAATATCCATAGACCCAGGATTCTATGCCAACGTCATTTTGTTTGATGCAGAAATCATGCTTGCTTGCATTACTGGTGTGTGGCACATTCTGCCCTTTGCCTATCGGGCATACCTAGCACTGTTCACAATGGCTCTCCTGTTCCCAGCAAACGGCTTCTGGTGCTGCTGGTGCATTCTTGATGCTGTGGCAAGCATATTGCCCAAAGCATGTGTTGGCAATTGGCAAAAGATCCCATCCATCGTTCTGATGTGGCGTGTATCTCAGCTTCTAGATGGTTGACAATACAAGGCAGGGGCATGAAAGAAATCGTCTTCCGCGGCGGTGCAGGGTACTATCCAGTGGCACAAATTGTCGATGTACGGTTGTCACAGACCAACATTAGTAGGAAGACGTCTTACAAGGTCCGATGGAAGGTGCGAATCAACGTCAGATCAGTCAGGATCCCGCCCTGCCGGCTGACACTTTGCATCATTCCTGTTCGCAGAAAATCTTGTATTTGGTAATTTCATGTGGTATCTGAAAGTTGCAAGCCATCGACAATATGGTTCTGCGGACATTAACTAGAAATAAAGTACTGAGATATTCCTGATGTTTTGCACGCATCAAATTCATTTGCTACAAGCTCGGTTCGCACAGTTGCCACATCGCTGTGTGACGCAGAACAGTATGGCATGGGGGGACATCTGGCCCTCAACTCTTGCCTATTTAGAAGCCTAACGATCGAAAATGCCAGACTTATAAAGTCGTTGTGGTGTGCCTCATGTTTTGCAGCATTGCAGCGCAAGCTGCTTGACAACCTTTTGCCGGCTGGTGCTGCACCCAATTTTTGCCTGCAGGGTGCCTACAGAGCTTCGTTTGACATGCATTGTTGATCCTAGTGATCCCTTGAATTTGCCAAATGATGGCAGGGTAACTGGTGCTGGCGCACATCGTGGTCCCAACCGATCGGAGCAAGCAAAAGTCTTGGCCACACAGTACAGGATGTGGGACATGTTCTGACCACTAAACCAACCATTTTGGGAACAACAGGAAAAATGAAAACCAGCAAACACCATATCACTCCCTGCTCACATCCATGTGCAGTGAATAGCCCAATCACTGGGAGAACTTCCCCAAGTGATAATCTTCATGATCCATATACAGCCATCCACCCAATGGCTTGTCCTCTTGCCATGGGTCATAGTAGGAACCATATGACAGCTGCATTTTCTTGTTGACTTGATATCTGAGAGGATCCTTGCGTACTGAATCGTTTTGCGTTTAATAGGGCTATGGGCCGGAAGCGGACACCTGGGTGATGGAGGATGACCTGGGTGCCAGTCTCGACCATTACCATGTGGACCCTAAGGTCTACAGTAAGCTGGACAGAATGGCGGCAAGGTCTACTCAAAGCACACCTCAGAAGAAGAGGAAACGACAGGTGGTAGCCAGACAGCGAAGAAGAGCTTCTGTGGCCAGGAAAGCACCCAAAAGGAAGGGGGTTGAGGGGCTGAAGAACTCATCAGGTGAGAAGGTTATCAGGTCTGTCAGGCCAGACTCTGGAATGCCTCGAGGTGTGAGCACGACGAATGTTGTGGCAGTTTGCTGAATTTTTTTCGAGAATTTTCTGAAACTTCAATTTCTACATTCGTCTGAAAAGTCATGTCCGATCTCCAATTTGCACAAACGGATGTCAAAACGCGCGAGCCAGAAAAAGTGACCGGAACAATTCGAAGCAATTTATCAAGAGCTATCTGTAGAGCCCTCAAACGTTTCTACTGGTGCCGCCGTTCTTGTGATATGTCATGAGGAGCTGAAACTCCACTTTGCATTTTCTTTGGAAGTTGGGGTACATCAAGCTTGCTTTTAAAAGATACTGATCGAGCTGAGTTGCCACTAGGAGCGATGTATGCTTTGGTGGTTTGGTGTGCACTGAAATTGCAGCCCGATTCCAAACACAGTGTGCAAAGAAAAGGGTCGGAGTACACAATAAATTTGGGGGCGTCAAGAAGAACCGTGTGCAAAGGGGAGGGAGGGAAGTAATAAGTGAAGAGCTGAAGACACCATAGCCTGGCACCTGCAGTTAGCCTGCGATGGGCTGCCAATCACTGAAGTGCAAAATCCAGCCAAAAATGTTCTTTGGTAAGACCGTGGTTGCTATCAGAACTGGTTAGTACCCTACCAAAAACTGTTTAACAACATGTGTCAGATGGCATGGAAAGCACTGGTTTGTTGCCATCAGGCAAGCTTTGCCTCCATGCCACTGCCCTGCTTTGACCCACAGGTGAATCTTGCTCATATCTACCTTACTTTCTTTTTTCAAGATTGATAAACTCGGTTGCAAACGATGGTCACAGAATACACAATCCTGAATATGATGCACCATCGTTGTGATGCAGGTGATGAGAATGAAAAGGGGGAGTTCTGGGCCGTGGAACGCCTCCTCAGCATGCGCCATGACGGTGAAGGCGGCAGGGAGTTCAAGGTGCGCTGGAAAAACTACAGCTGGCGCTTTGATACCTGGGTGAAAGAAGAGGACCTCAGGGAGGCTGTCCACAAATTTGAGATGTCGCCTGCCCTGAGGTGCCACTTGGGCAACCATTAAAGAGGGGGATCGGGATGGTTGGATTCAGTTCAAAATCATGGTTTGTTTTGGTTAGGTCGGATCGGTCAGTTTGGATATGGTCAGTTGGCCAGGTGGACTATGGTTGTAAGTACATCAGGTCGGGATGGTTCTTTATGATCGTTACTTCGCCCTTCTTTATATTGCTTCTTCTTTTATATTTTTGCCTCTTGTACTCTTGCCTCCTTTTAACACAGCCTGTTGCTTTTTATATTTTATGTACTTCTTTTCTTACCTTCTTTTTACCCACCTCTTCACCCCCACCTATTTTACCTTCTTCCCCCACCTGCCCCCCTTCCCCTGTCTTCACGCCGCCTTCTCAAATCCGGTTGCTTCCTTCTCCCACTCCTCCTTCCAAGAGGTGAAGGTAAAGGTATGAGAGAGAGGCGCAAACCCCTCTTCCCCAACATTTTACTCGTTGCTTTGGTTCTACTGCTTATTTAGAATCATATCATGGCGAATAAGCATGCTGCTGTTGATGTGCGGCAGCAGCGTGTGTGCATCCATTGTGGTGGATGCCGTCGGAAAGGAACTTGGTCCAAATAGGGTCAGGGCCGCTACAGATCTCCAGGACGCCATGTACCGTGCGAATAGCACTGGGTGCGACTACGGTGTGCAGTTTGGCCTCGAGTGGTGCTATTCAGGGCCCAGATAGGGTCGGAGTGCTGTCGCTTCCCCGGCCGTTGATGATTGTTTTGACCTGCAGTTTGTTTGGATGACCGATCAGCACCACAAGGACAATACCACACACCGATGAAAAACTTCTGTCGCTGTGTAGTGGGGCACAAGGCAATTCTGAGCCATTCATACCGTTCGCGGTTCTGAGGTGTACGAATTGTGTGTGCCCCAAGATTTGCTGCTGCCTCGCATCGCCCAGCAGGTGACACAGACATACTTTTGCAGCAGCAGCAAAAACCGCTCCCTGAGATGTACGTCTTCGTCCGCACTCGTCAGGGACACGGACGGGGAACGCACTGCTGCACGCAGCATGCTACGTTATCCGAGGTGCCCCGTGCAATGGCTGTCTCACACGTGTGCTGCCACGTGCGATATATAATAGCCATACCACGGGTTCCCCGTCACACATGGGAACGTTGCAGCACGAGAATTTATGCACCCGTTCGCTCAGGGGACCCATTTGCGTCCAGCTGCTTCGCGCTGGCGGCCTGTGCACCCATGAACTGCCTTCGGCGCGCCAAACAACGAATTCGCTCATGCCCTCTCAATCGTTCCATCATTGTCCGCCGCCCAGCTGAATGTTCTGCACGGCCACCCCCTGCGACGAGTTCCCCGACCCCGGCCGGCTGCGCATCGACCCTGTTGCAGACCTGTGAGAGGCTGCGGAGAGGGGGCGTGGGCTTGGCGCTCGGCTGCTCGATCGGCTGCTGTGGGGACTGGCGGTCACGGAGTCTGCAACAAATGAGGGTCGCATGTCAGGCCATCCGCAGACCAGGGTAGACACAGCATGTGCCAGCGCCCACAGCCGTTATTACTGGTCACGCAAAATGTACGCTGCTGCATATGTCATTGCCAGATTGCACATTCTCGCATTGCACCGTCTTCCTGCAGCATGTACTGAACCAGTCCTGGCCTGCTCCTGATTGCTCGAAAGGGCGTTGTTGGGGCTGCCGGTGCCAGCGATACCGAAATTGTGGGCAAGCATGCCTTGCGTGCGAGCCGCAGCGAGCGACATGGGGATGTGGCACAAGAACGCGTTGTCAATCGCAGCTGCACTGCCCTGACAGTGGGTCAGGGCGCCTGTGTGTCTGTTGCGTGATAACATGGTGCCCAATGCAATAATGGTGACCCGGGTGTGCCGGAAGCAAGGCCACAAGGGGAGACAGCCGAAAGGCGAGTGCCAGTTCCTTGCCGGCTGTTGCCTCCTGTGCTGCACAACCTCGTCGCCGAAGCGTCCGCCTGGCAGGCGTATTCGCTGGGTTGACGCCTTCTTCGCTGCACTGCGCAATTGCTGAGGCGATTCGAATGCAAGCTGTCGAACAAATGACGCGGATTGCATCGTGCACCGGGTGCATGATGCAACTGTCACGGGGCGGCCCCGTGATAGTGGCGTGACCGGGCGCTGCTTTCTGGCGCTCTGCCAAATGCAATTCCCCGGCATGCAGATGGATTGTCTCTCCTGGTGAGCACCTGGGAGCTTCAGCCCCGCCGCCTCCAGCTTTTCTACAATCCCCATGTGGGGATGGTCTATGGACAGGCTCTTCAGGTCGTGAAGCAGCGTCCGGTTGATGTCCCTAACTCCAGCGAGCTCGACGTCTTTGACGTCTTTCTCCGCCCCCTCCCCGTGTTTCGTCTGATGCTCGGCCCTCAGCTTCTGTGCGCGTTTTTCGGCGCGCTGGCGTTTCTCCGACTGGTCCTTGGCCTGACGGTCGGCGTCCTCCTACACGAGCAAAAAAATGACCAAATAACACGTTCTGCGAACACATATGTATGACATTTCATCAGTGTTGTGCATGCTAACAACACGAAAATAACACAAACCCGTAAATTTTGTACACTTTTGAACACATGTTATTGGGCCCTTGTTGCCTAGTGTACGGCAGCCAACACCGTCAGATTTCGTGCTCTTTGTATAGATAGATGCTATTCGGCGGCAGCTCTTGCGGAAAGGCGTCTGCCCCACTGCTCGCTGAGCATCGCTATCCAAACAATTCAAGAAGCAGTTTGTGAGAGCGCATGAAACGTTATAAGCATCGCGCCCATCTATAACGTTCTGCGCTCACGCAGCTTGAGGCCTTTCCGCTGTACATCCAGAAGCTTCTGGACGGTATTCAGACCCGCATAAGTCTTCCGTCAAGTTGGAATGTGTAAAAATAGAAATGCGGCAATCTTTTCACCGAGGCTCGACTATTTCCTCGCATTCTTCTTGAGCGTGGCTACGCATCCACAGCCTTGTGCCCCTATGGCGCTAGTTGAGATTTCTCGGCCGTCGCGTTCTATTTGTCTTTTTGAACACCGCTTCCAAGCGCTGGCTCAGAGCCTCCCCACGCTCGGGCAGCGCAACCAAGAGCTACTCGCACCTTCTTCTTTGTCAACTCCGCCACCGAGCCTTTGTTCACGTCGACTTCTTTCCTCAGTGCCCGCAGCCTGATCTCCGCCTGCTGGATGTCGGCGGCGATGTTCATCTCCTCAGTGCGCTTGAACTTCAGCTTGTCGTACGCCCTGTCCAGCCTCTCCCTCAGGTCCATGCGCTCCTTGAGGGACGCCTCGTTTGGGACCCTGCGGAAGCTGGCCCCCAGCTGGTTGTTGGCGTCGAGCAGCTTTTCCAGTGTCTGTTGAAGCGCCTGGACCTACAATGCGCCCAGAGATGCATTCGTGCCCTTTTCAAGATCTGATACATTGCGTCTGCGCATGGCATCGTTTGGTGCCTGGCTCTCTGTTGTAAGCAGTGAAAGTGCTGGCGTTTCCACAGCGCAATGTTGTCTTTCAGAAGTAAATGTGAGTGTGGCGCTGGAGGTGGGGGAACTGCGTGTCTTTGCCTATTCGAAAAGACAGTTCCCATGACTTACCTATAGGGATTGCAGAATCTCTGTAAAATAATTCATGCTTCCACCTCCAAATAAAATGTCCATTCTGCATTTCATAAAATAGTTATGCTAACCACGATCGCGACACGACCAGGTAGATGCTAAGTGCACCGGAATGGGAATCTGACAGCCACACATCCCCCTCACAGCATCAAAAATGCTGTAAGACCAAGATGCCGGGGAAACATTCGCTATTTCAGAGACCGCTGTACTGCACATCTTGTATTCCAAGCGAACAATGTGGCAGCCTTGGATACCGGCACGGACATGCGATCGACACTTCATGGGCATTCACATATCATGGTTTGCTCAGCGCGTCTTGAATCTTTGGCCCAAGTCACTGATAAAACAAAACTTTCTGACCGCAGTTGCGATTGAATTGTTTTGCTGATTTTCATGCGCTTGTTACAGTATCGAGCAGCTTCAACAATTCACCACGATTAACACCAAGTTCTACGAGAAAGAAGAACTCTCTACAGGTAAATCGTGATAAAGTGCAAATTCTAAGACCATCTGATTCGCAGCCAGCCTCGACTACCTCTTTCTCCCCCTTCCTTATCTTTGCATCCAGATCGTCCCCTTGCCTCTGAAGCTCCTCGCGCTCTTGAGCTGCTTTTATGAGGAAGTAGGCCTGAGACCTGGGCTCATCTTCGAACATGGACTGCTTATTGGCTGATAGGGTTTCGAACTTGCTCTTCAGCTTTCCCGCTCGCAAGAACCGCTCTTTCTGCTCCAATATCACTCTGTGAACGTCGTCGCGCACGTTCTTAAGCTCTACCAGCAAGCCATCCCTGTGGAGCACCCCAAGCGGTTGCGCGAATGGAATATTGATAACCAAGTTATTATTCCATAGTACATAATCTAGAGAACATACTCCATCATATACGGTGGAATCCAGCTCGCCTACACAATCGAAGATACGAAGAATAATCAAACCCGATACCTGCGAAAATAGGCCCTGCCGCAATTCATCTGCAAAATATGCAAGCACGCCCTGTGGCAGTCATGTAGCAATCGATTGCCATGCGCTTTTCGCTTTGTTGCTCTGTTTGCGCATTCCTTCCAGCTGAGGCTAACACTTCAATCCTTTCCCCTGACATTACATTAACAGGTTCATTATGTAAACATTTCTCGAATAAATTATCTCAAACGTGCATTGAATGACAATCCGCCTTCCCTCACAGAAAAAATACTATATGGGTCAACACAGCCAATTCAGTCTTGGCAATTCCTCGTCAATACCCTGCCCTACCTAAATATGCCGCTCACTCACCTGTGCACCCCAATTTCGTGCTTGCGCTCCTCCATACTCAGCTGCAGCTGTGCCTTTCGATTCTCCAGACTGCACACCTCGTCAACCCTCATCGACACCACATCCGTCAGCCTCTTGACTTGCAGCTTCAGGACATCGTGCTCGACCATGCAGTTCTCCTTCTCATCCACAGCCGACTTGATACTCTTCTGAATCATTTCGGTCTCCAGGTACAGCTGAGCGATGCTGTCTTCGATCTTCGCTAAGACGCCGGGAAATCAAAATTCAAAGATCGGATGGGCACCTGCCTTGTTCGGGCCGGTGCTGTTAATGAAACGCCTTTCGTGACAAGCATTAAGACTCGATCAGATATCGCTATCGTATCCTCTCCGACTTGTGGAGAACTTCTATGTCATTGTTTCGTGTATTGGAAAATTTTCGCACGTATTGGATATACCTACCCAGGGTATTTCCGCCTTTCTCCTGGATATGTCCGTATCCTCGCCATATCCCAGGATATGGGAGCCCAAATCTTCAGGACATGCCCATATCCTGGATGCGCGCATCCGGGATGTGGCTCCCATATTGTAATCGATACCCAGGATATGGGAACGGGAGGTGGTGGGTTTGGGGGTGGGCATGTCCTATTCCATATCCAGGATATGGGACTACTTCTCGACGCTGAGCAATAATTTTGGTCATAATGGCTTATGCAATGTGACCTTTCTTCCAATACATGATGTAGAACCTGATTTTTCTTCAAATTGTGGGCCCAGGAGCCCGGGTATCCTCGGAAAAGCGTGAAACGCAGCATAATAACCGGCTAACCCCATTACAAGCATGTCAAACCGATAGCAATTGTGACTTATAAATTGCAATGCGCATCATTTACGCGGGGCATGGTGCCAAATGTCCTGCACCCCACGTGGCACATTCTCATCGGCAGCTGAGCAGATCCGTTCCAGAGTCATTCTGCACGCATTGCAGAATCATTCCACAGTCATCCTTCAGTCATTCTGCACTCGGCTTTTCTGAACCGCACGCAAACTTTTCCCTGGCTGCCTAACATTGGCGGACCTGGGCGTGGCCGTGATACATTGTGATGGGCCGTGCATTGCGGGTACAGCACGGAAGATGACATGCACATCTTGCAAAGATGACAAATTGTCACAACACCATACACTGGTAGTAAACGCCAGGTTTGCGCTGCCAACTGCGATGCCATTTTGACACAAAATGATGCCGCCGCAGTGATTGCGATGGCATAAAAGGGGCTGAGATGGCATCAATTTGCGTCAAGTGGCATCGCAGCTGCCATCGCAAACAGGCTGTTTTCTACTGGTGGTAAGCAGGATATCTTCTTCCCTGGGCACCTTTGGCGCCCAGCAGCTGCTTGTTCTTCCTACTGGCTTGGCCCAGGTTGTCCATCGCCTTTTTGAGCTGCGCCAGTAGCATCGCGTGCTCAGCGTTCACGCCCTCCAGCTCCCGCGTCAGCCGCTCGATTTGGGTGTTCAGCTCCCTCGTCTCCTCGTCGCTGCGCTCTCCCTGCGCCCGGGACACCTTGCGCTCCATGACGACGATCTGGAATTCGACGTTGTACAGCATCTCCTGCTGCTTGGCCACCTGGCACCGAGAAAACAGGCTGCAACGTGATATTAAGCTTCGGAGATGGGTACGCAGAATCACGTAACCAGACATTCAGGTTCAGTGGGTCTAGGGGTCGCACTGCGGTCATTTTTTACGATCACCATGTTCAGCGTTCTTTGAAAAACATACGATGCATTATTCATTGTTTCTTTTAATGAGTCCAAAGAAACACGTCTTTTCTCGTATCCTGTGTCGAGCATACTCCGTGCGGATTCTCTGGGTCTCATTTAGTCTAAAAATGTATCTGCTACACGCGTAGCTTCCAAATAAATGTCTCAATCAAATGGAGTTATGCACACGGATCGTGCACTTTCGACCTCCCCCCTCCCTCCCCCTTCTCGCCCCTCACCCACCCACCCACCCCGCGTGCCTCGGCATTTTCATGCGAAATCCTACTGGCGTGTCTACCAAGCAAAGGAAACAGCGAAAAACTTCCTGTGTCAAACTCTGTCTCTCGCGTAAGCAAATTCCAGATTTTTGCATCAGAGCGGTGTTGACTTTTCATTGATGTACAGCCTACGTATACGTAGAAGCACTGAAGCAGCGTTGGCAACAACACAGGCGCTGCCGACACTGGTGAACAGGATTGTTCTCCAGTGTACCAAATGTGTCGTTGCCGATACCCCCTCAATGCTGTTTTCGACATGTCGCTGCAGCTTGGGGGATTCCCTTATTTTCGGTGACGCCAACCTTGGCCTCCAATTGAGCGATCTTGGCCTTCATATTGCGGTTCTCCGCGTGCGCCCCCGCGATCTCCGATATCAGATCCCTTTCCTTCTTCCTCTCCACGAACAGCGCCTGCCCCTGCCTGTACTGCTGCGCCTTGAGGTCCGCCGTGACCTTCTGGGCCTCCCGCAGGTGCCTCTCCTCCGCGGCGTGCAGCGCCTTCAGCTCGCTGTCCCTCAGTTCCAAGGCGTCCAATTGGCCCATTTCGCTCTCCAACTTGCGCCGCACCGCCGCGTACTTTTTCCTCGCCCCATCCAGCCGCTTCCTTGAAACCACCACCGAACATCCAATCAGTCACGCTTGCCTTGGCAGGACAAACACAAGATCTCGTAAACCGTGGGTGACGGTGGGCGGTCTGGACTCTCCATGGCCCACACGAGAGGTGCCGCGAGGAATCGCGAAAGAGCAAAGGAGGCGTATGGCCCCGTGGAGCAAGACCTGTGCCATATACACAAGGTGCGGCACGCAAATGCGAATTTGAGGGAAAGAAATCACCGTACAATGAGTGCGTGGAGAATACATTTAGTCCTTGCACCCTAACGCGTCGAATTCTCAATTTCTGCGTCGTAAAGCGAGTGGCATCAATCACCGGCAAGCGCGAGAAGCGATAAAGGGGACATTTTTCTTGGTTACGAGGTGACCAGCGCCCTCCAGAAGGTGGCGCTGGATCAGGGTCATGGGTTCGCATACCTGAGGTCCTCCAGGCTGGCTTTTGCGTTTCTGTTTTCCACCGTTTTCTGTGCCAGATCATTGGCGGCTTTCCTCAGCGTGTTTTGGAGAACTTCAGTCTCGTCCGAGGCTTCAAGTTTTTTCTTCTGTTCGTCGCCGGCAAGATCCCGCAGTTTCGCCTGTGTCCGATGCAACACAAGTATAGGTGCCCTTGTTTCATCCAACTCGAAAGAAACAAGTGAACTTATAATACAATATGCCCTTGCGAGAGACATCAAATCATCGAATGGGTTGCACCCGACGGTACCCGGGTGGGCAAGCGAACTGCGTGTATGGCATTTGCACTTATGAATGCACATATGCATTAAATGTATTAGATGCTTGGAAATATTACATTGAATTCCACAGCTCACAATTCCATATTACATTGAATTCCACAGCTCATAATGAATAAGCAATGAATGGAACGTAAATCTGTTGGAAGCCTAAACTGTGGATTGTATTAGCTTGCCTTGCAGTTTACTGAGGTTGGGACGCTACACGATAAGATCGGATGCAGATGTGATCAATAGCGACATATACAATGCCTATGACACAAATCTCTTGTACCTGCAGAATTCCAAGCATCAAATTCACATGTGGCAAAATTATGCAACAATGTCATTCAGTGGATTTAACAAGCAAAGATGGACACCCTATGTCGTTGGGCTGATCGGCGCCTTGATCACGTTGACGTATGGTCCATTGACTGTATATTATTTCAATATATGCAGAAATGTCACAACAGTGTTGAGCAGTTCTCAAATGTCGCTGTACTCAATGACGACTGCATCAACCATGGTACGCGCTCCAAGATCTCAAATAATCTGGGTATAAACTATGTCAGATGGCTTTATAGTGGCATCATTTCTTCCTTACTGTAATCTATTCCCGTTTCTGATGCACGCATTCCAAATCGTGCGTTATATCGCAAGGTTTGAAATAAATGCATCCAATCAAATACGCACAGTTTTCTGGCCGTAGGCTCCATTATAACGGCAAGCACGATGCTTGGGGTGCACATGTCATGATGTTGGAGGCAAAATGGATCCTTTCTCACCGTTTCCCTATCCAGCGCCTCTATTCGCGCCTCCAACTCTCTGTTGTTCGCGACCTCGTTCTCTAGAAATGCGGCTTGAGCATCTAAGTCCTTTCGCTTCTGGCGGATGACAGACTTTCTATCGTGGAAGCGCTCCGTGGCGAGCTGTATGGCCTTGTCCTGTCGTCTCATTGCCTCCACGGCTTCGTCCCACTGCCGCAAAAGCTCCTGGCGCTCTTTGTGAAGGGCTCTGATCAAGGAGGCGATAATGTAGTGAGTGTGCGCGATTCATCTTTGGCAGTACAATGGATATTGACATGCGTACTCGTTGATTTGAATCTATGAAAATTTGGATTGATTTACAGAAATAAAAGGAGACATTGCGTCCCACCCGGCATTTTACAAACAAGCTGTGGGATGATCACAAAAACAGATGGGAAACTTCGTGAAGTCAGCGCGGGTACATGATGGCGTAAGTCAGCTGTACCCAGCTCTTTCATTCCACCCTGTGAATGCTCAAAACTTTGTTGGTTTACTCGGTGTTCCACCCTTTTTGCCTTTTCTCGATGGCAAGGAGACTCCTTTCTACGAGAAACCGCTTAGGCACCTGAAGTCATCGGCAGTTTTGTCAAGCTGTGTCTGGGCGGCCTGCGTTTCTGTCACCTCCCTTGCCAGGTCGCTTTTTGTCTTCACGGAATTCTTCGTGTCTCTCTCAATTTGAAGGTTCAAATCCTTTGACAACGAAAGTTACTCAACGGTGATTGCATGTCATTGGAGCACCTTCGTGATGCGAACGGTAAATGCTGAGGCATAAGGCCTTGACACGGCAGCAGTTGCACTTGAATTGTGCATACAATCGCCCATACTGCAAGTACGTATAACATTTATGCCACGAATTGGCAATTTGTGCTGCATGAAGCAAATTATACTTTTACTTGTAGTCCATCAGGAGCATTGGGTAATGTATACAAGGCAATAGAGCTTTCGTGCTCCCTTCACACGCGCACGGGTTTCATGATTCGCCATTCTGAATAAGATATACTGAGACGATACACCGGGGTGGGAAGGGGGGCGGGCGGGGGCTCGCTATATCGCCCGGGCGATATCATGCAAATTTCATTATTTCACGATTAACACAGAGTACATGTGCCAATTATAATGCATTTTTAGTTTTATTTGATTCGCGAATCATGATTCTGATATGATTCGGTATGCAGCTCTCCCAGTGTTTCAACCCAAACAACATTACTGTCTACTACTGATTCCTGTGCTATTTCGGGACGGGCTGTTTTCGGGAAATCAGTAATCCCCAGCCGGAAGGACATCGCATGTGGACTTGAAATCGGCGCACAGTTGTAGTGAAATGCTGTGATGCGCATGTGCATAAACGTCACCTTAGCATGCAAGAATGTGTGAACATTGCCGCGCACCGACTGCGCGAGAGTTTTGAACAAAAGGCGGCCGTTCCAGACCTTTCTGAGTACGCAGTTGAATCCTCATATAAGGGGAATGCGTGAAAAACAACGCCGACATGCCTTCCCACCGACATCGCACAGGGGGATAACAGCGACGTCAGCTTTGGCAGAACATGCACTGCATAGACATTCGGTGCAGAGAACATGCTGTGCACAATGTTGGCAATATTGCAATGTGCATAATAGTACTTTAATTTCACTTCGCTTCGTTCCATTATTCTAGTTGTAACTTTTCATGCAACCATATCACATTTTAGGCCACAGCGGGTTTAATGCTTGTTGGAATTCAAATATTAATTTTGCTAATACCATCAAGCCTACCGCTTTGCAGAAACACCTGCCACATTATTTAAATACCTCAAATTGAAATAGCACGTTGTAAAATACGATAAATCGAGCATTTTTGCTTGATGCATCGCTTTGCCTCACCTTTACAACTGATTCGTCCTGCCTCTTGTACTTCTCCAGAGCCAGGTTGTCTTGCTCCTTTTGCCATTGCGCCTGAGCCCACTGATCGAGCTCGTCTTGATTCCAATTCATCAGGAGCTTGAATTGGTCCATTTTCTCGCTTCCTTTGTATATCTGCACTTGCAGGGAGTTTATTGTTTCCTCCAGCTCGCGTCGCTCCTTGGAGAGATTGCTGCCCTCCACTTTTGTGCGCCCCTGAAATGTGCTCGACGCGCGTCAACTGGGGCCCTTGAATATCTTAAGAAGCTGAAGAACATCTGGGTGGGAACTCTGAATAGCTGCAACATAAAATTCGTTGAATGGACTAAAGTGCGACTTCACTGTACGCCATTTGATGTGCGACTTCAATGCACCACCCGTGAAATGATTTGGGAATAGACGGTGCAGTTTCCACAGTCATTTTACCGGTCGCCAGCCAGCGCTGGCTAGCAGTGAAAATGAATGCAATGCTTCCCATTGCCTCAGTGCCCCTATTCAACGACGGTGATCCGGAGATCTATCTTCTCAGGGGCGTCAAAGTCGCATGTTTGGGCACGCACGCGTTCATAGAGCTTCCGACTTTGGCGTACGCAAGCACGTATATCCACACCCATATCTTCAATTTCGAGCAAGAGTATGGCAGTCCATGCATTCGATATGTCTACATGCCAGATGTGCATGTTCCGTATAACAATTTCTCCTTGAGCAAGCGCTATGATATTTCTTTTATGAATACAACCTTACGGGGACTGAGAGTTTGGCGTACCATCTCCCTCTCAACCAATTTCTCCAAATGGCTCTCCGTATCCGTCTCCTTTCCCTTGGCAAGGACCTGTGCGGAAGCGACAGAAAAGCAAGAGAAGGTGATTCAATATTTGAATGCCCTGTGCTGTTTTCAATGAGCTCTGTTGCGAGTCCAATTCTTCAAATCCTTGGGGCGGCAAGATCCTTAAAAAGACACTGGCAGCATCGCTTCAAGTCAAAACACCCCACTGTCGAAGTACCGATGTGAGGCAGCTGCGATTCAAGCCCAAGACCCTGAATACTCCCTCTCCTAGCAAGATGGAAGGATCTTGGTGGGCTCTGAGTAATAATATTAGCTGTTCGTTGTCGAGCAGAAGAATAGCTCAATGTCAATTGTCATTATTTGTTTTCAAAACAGAAGGCAAAAGGAAATTCTGGAATCACCGAATCCAAAATACGTCGCAAGCACAGACATCAGTTGTAATATGAAGGGATTGATGCGATGCACACGCCAAGATGTATGTTTCGCACAGCTATTATTACATGAAAAAATCAGCACTCACTGCTGCGCTCATGGCTGCGGCGTGCATATTGGATCGGCGTTGAACAAGCCAATTACCGCGAATTCTGTTTCCCAAATTTGCCGCTCCGGAACTTCCAATGGCTTGAATATACCCCTTGGACCAGGCGCGGCAATGAACACATGGCAATGCGCTGCAGTGTTATGCACTTTCCGGTGAAGCAGAATGTCGACAGACTCCCACTTACCCTCATTTCGGTGAGTTTGAGCTCTTGGTTGACGTTCTTGAGGTGCTCCTCCATGACGCTGATTCTCTCCCCATTGCTCTCCAGAGCCGCATCAATTTCCTCCAGCTGCTTATCCGCGTTCTGAAGGTGCACACAACAGCCCGCCTACAGTCAGCTTGCTGAACCCTTGCCCCGAATCCCTGGCCCCTTTTCCTTTAGTGCCCGCCACCAAGTATCCAGGCACGATTCAGCAGCACGCTCCACCGCGCCGGGAGGCAATGCGACATGGGGCAGACACCATCTTTGCGCTGCCTGAGCTTGCCTGGACATATTCGTGAAGCTCTCTGTTCTCTTTGTTGGCGAAAGCAGGCAGGGCGTTTCCAAAGGTCGGCTCATCTTCGTCACCTCCGTGCAGCTCGCCTGAGGTTGAATTCGAACATCACAATAATGCGAGTGTCGCAGTGAGTTTTGCTCACAGGTTCGACCAAGGAAATGTCGCCGATCATTGCATGTGGTTCTCCGCAAGTCGACAGCGGAGAATATTTTTGGTCACTGAACCGGTGTCTGTTAGCTTGAGTTTGCATTTCGCCAGCAGAGAAAGGACCAAATAGCACTTTTTGCGAACACATCTATATGCATTTCATCGGTGTTCTGCACAATGAAAACACGAAAATAACCAAATCCGCGGGTTTCGCCCAAATTACACGTGCTCAAACATGTACAAAGTTTGCGGCCGTAAAATCTGTACATGTTTGAACACGTGTTATTTGGCCCTTTTTTCCTAGTGTTTAGCAAAATGACTAGAGCAGGTGTCATGGCCAGGAGAGCCCCATGTCGCCACGTGTACGCGTACATGGACGTATTGTATCCAAACATGCGTGGACACAATACTTAATGACATCCATTTATGTGGTGCGCCGTACAATCTGCGACAGTGTTTTGGTCATTTTTGCGTAATCGCTGGCCACAAATATGCCAATTAACAGCAGCAAATGATGTATTGAAAGTATGGCATCCAGTTTGTTCGTGACTTGGCACCCACCTCGCGACCAGCAGGAACAAACTGGCACATAAGGACATCTGGCGCATTGAGAGAGAAAACCAGATGGATGTCATACGTGCAATACGTTTGATGTCAATCCCAAGGCTGGGGGCATTGTAGTTGGCATCAAAATATGCGCACCGCAGGTCGACTCTTGCTGAGGGTAGTGCTGATTAACAAGCGCAGGAAACATGAGCGTTTTTTGCGATGTACTAACGAGACTCGCAGTTGAGGTGACACCCATGAAGGTTGGCTTCCGAAAGCTTGGCACAGTTTTAGTCACTGTTGTTTAGCCAATCCAGATATCATTAACTCGCCGGGTGCCTTGCTGCCGATATACTATGCAGTACTGCAGTAGTGCCCGGCCTGAACGCTTACAATTATGAGTTCAAACCGGGAACATCCCCAGGTGGTGAAGGCTTGCGCATCAGCAGCGGCAGTGCGCATCAAACTTTCCAACACGCGCGTCTTTGTACCTCAGCTATAACTTTCCAATGGTCACCTCTGGAAGATCCCGAAATGGATATGTCAACCGCGCCAGCCACTGCGCGACCGTATTGGGAAACGCAGGGCGCAACCGAGGCCCCCGCCATCGACCAAAAACCTCTGACGACCCGACAGCTACGGCAGCAAAGCCCGAACAAGGGACGCCCCTCCGCAATGCTCCCCCCAAAACGCTGCCCCACCGGCGGCCGCCCGAAGCATGTCCTCCTCCTCGGTCGCTCCTCCCCCCTCGGTGTTGTCCTCCATCTGCTCCGCCCACCCGTGCAAGCAAATGAAAGCAGCAGCGTTCCCCTGCTGGCGCCACCTCCTCGCCTTTCACCTCCGACAGAGAAGCGGCAGGATCGCCGTGGGTCCGCCTCTCCTGGCGAGTCGCCACCCTCCCTGCAAGCTGGTGGTCCCGGAAGCGCGCCCTCGGGCACCAATGGTCCAGCTGCGCGGAGGGGGCCGTTCTGCGGATGTACCCGTCTCTCTCGTACGGTCGCAACAAGCTGACTGCGCAAAGGCCGTCATCTGTGGTGTGAAAACGACCAAATGATGCATTGAGGGAGGCGGCGGCTCTCGGTGGACTGGTGCATAGGAACCCGACGGCTGCCTCTTTGCCTTGCCATGTGAAAATGGATGTCGGTGATGAGGACTGGGGGCCCTGCGGTGGACCGCCGGATTTCAGTGAACGAATCATGGGCGCTGCTCTTGCAAAGCAGCGGTCTGACGGCTACCTCCCCGCCTGGATATGTAGCGTTTCCTAAATGAGGGACCCTGCGTTGGGCGGGAATGGAGGCCATTGCAGGTTTGGACGCCGACGTCGTTGAGGATTTGAATGAGTACATAGAGTCGGCGGAGCTGGAGCCGCTGATAAGGGAACTGCTGGTGGCGTGCCTCAGCGCGAAGCCTGCAGATCCGGCGCTGTTCATGTGGGGCCCGTTCCCCTCGGCACTGGTACAGCAAATCGAACTGACATATTGCATGGCCTACCGGCGTGTCCGCGTTTCATTAGGTGGCCGGATTCCGTCTTTGGCTGAATGGTAGTCTACAAAACGACCAGACGATGGCACCTTTTGGGATGAGCACATATTCCCGTGCCGCGCCAAGTCAACTCGCAGTCAACTCGCGGTCAACTCGCTTGTCGCGGACGGCGCGCTTTCATTTCATCGAGAATCTCCATCGCATGTTGGCGTCAATGCCTCTATTCTATGAGTCATGCTCGGGCCCATTGAGCTCAAACACCGGGGTAGCTGGCAGGAATTCGTTAAATTCAATAATAGTCAAAAGCATTATCGAATTTCCAGGCAGGGCGCCTTCCTCCGTCCACGTGCGCTGATGGGACAGTTGAAATTGCTGCAGTGTCAGAAATGTTGCACTGATTTAACGACAGTGCTATCGATTTGCAGCTTCGAACGAACGCTAATATTGTCCTTCGGAAGTGCTTGTAAATACCTAGAATCGAACTCTAGAAATAGGTCACGCCGTCATTGGAGCCAACTCGTTTCATGGAATTGTGCCTAGAAGCAACAGAAGTGTTTCTTCACAGAAAAAATAAATGCAATCAAGATGTCCGCTACCATCAGGCGCTGCTCTGCTCGGGTGAAATAGGGATGTGTTCCCGTGTGAGGCTCGCTCCGCCTAAAAGGAATGCCTAAACATGCCTAATTAGCAAGCCCTATCCGCCATCCATCGCCATGTATCCATCCACGGATCACAACAGATTGTGTAAGTGCATGTAGAGGTCCCCCCAACACCACATACATGGGCAGCACAGACAATATCCGCTGGGGGCAGATCGCCTCATGCGATGCACCAGATGTGTTGCAAAACATCTGGTCCTAGGTTGGCAGGGCCAGCCTCCATGGGAGTTCTCGCAACTGGAATATTTGTATCGCAGAGAATGACGTATGATGGCGTGCTGTATACGTCATCATTTGCGCATGTTGACGTTCCAGTGGAGCGTACAGGGGTGCATTTCTGACTGCAGTTGCTGATCAGCTGTGTGCTTCATCCCAACCGCTTTCCCTCAGGATGAGCTGGCTTGCTTCCAACCGAGTACGTGCCTCAAGGGGAGCCCCGGCTGCCACAGACATGGGTGCTGCAAAAGTGGATGTTACCGTCAGCATCCGCCGCAGTGATCCTGCGGCGCCACATGTGGGTCCTTATTCCGACACGGATGCCTGTGCGTGCACTCAAG